ACTAACTGTCGTCCGACATCGACTAGTATTTAGTCACCCCCCACCACGAGGGTAGTATGTGGCACAAGGCCGGTTTAATGTGGGATCTCCGAGCCCGTGGGCTCGGTCAAAAATATACCCTTTGAACCCGTATAAACGGGCTCAGAGTCGGTTTACCTCCCCGAACGAGACTCCGCTCTTCGGCGTAGCCTCGTTCGGGTTCCTCCCCGCCCAAAGGCAGAGAGTTCAACCGTTCAGCCGGTCGTCCGACATCGACTGAATATTTATTGTATCGAAAAATACAATTGTAGCACAAGGCCTGAAAAGGGGAGGGGTTGAGGCTGGTCTTCACTATCTTATACCTAGCTAATCAGAGTCACGACCCATTCATACATTACAATTTGCCTATTCACCACAAGAACTCATCCATCACCAATCAATCCTCCTTACACCATAATACCACATCCTCACAAGGCGGGGGGCATACAAAATGCGCCCCATGCCATAAAAATTTAATGATAATAGATAATACATAAAAAATCTCATAATGAAGGATGAGAGGGGAGGGAGATAAACCCAATAATAAACTAAAATATAAACATAAATCAAATTAAACATAACAGATGTTAGTAGGGCCCGTCCAACCCTCAAAAACAAAGAGGCCGCTGTATTCTGCCCATTGGACAAAATCAAGAAGCTTTCTCACTAAGGGAGTGGGAATAGGATAAAAAATCCTACGGGCATGAGAGAATATAACGATGACCTAGACGAGATAAAAGGGGGCCAAAAACAAACTGGGGAGGTTGGGAATCTCAAACTGGATCATAACCAAAGAACTGGCCAGGAACAGGCTGGGAACAACACTTACTCACATTAACTAGGTACACAAAAGCTTGTCTAACCTAACCAGTGAGAGGGCTCCGCAGGAAACCACCCTGATGTGACGTAGGTTTGACCTAAAAGAGAAAATCAAGGCTAGCCCGTTCAAACGAACCAAACTCGCCTCAGTCACCCACCTTTCGCTGAACACTGTCGAATGCAAGCGTTTTCTATCAGTTCTCATCTTCATCTTGAGCTGATGCTCAAAGAATCGGATTAGTTCCAGATAAGAAAGACGGTTGCCTCGCAAGACTTCCTCTTGTCACGTCGTCCAAATCACCATTCGAGCCGTGGCTAGCAGAGTCAGAAACACCACCCGTTTCACCCCGGAATACGGGGGCGACACATTGTCACACGCGTATGCACGATCAATGGGCACAAGCTTTTCGGGAGCGAGACGAGCCGTCAGCTCGCCGACATAGTCCCATAGGGGTCGGACCCGGGAACAATGGTAGAAGGCGTGCGAAAACATTTCTTCTAAACCAAGGCCACACCGTTCACAGTCTGACAAATCCGCCAAACCCCATATGAAGACCTTGTCATTGAGAGGCAGCCGATTCCGAGCCAATCGCCAAGTAAGGGTTACTGAGATAATCCGCCGCTGGAGCCCAAGACCAGTAAGAGCGAAACTCCTCCTCCGACAACCTGAGATCATCACAGGGAATCCTTCGCGACCCTCTCCACTAACAATCGATAGAAGACCTTCCTAGGCTGAAAAAGGTCACTGGACAGGGGAACATCCAACAAGGCCGACCGACACTCGCGAAGGAAAACAGATTGATCCCGGGGTTTACGATGGCGCTCAACCCGCGAGATGGGGGAACTGATAGTAAGGCGAGGGAACGCGGACCTCACAATCCCCTCGATAATCGGATCTCCACCTGTCAACGCGGGGCGTAGGAAAGCCAACCTCGAGGCACGCCAATGGCTTACCAAGTGTGACATTCCCAGCCCCCCATGACACAGACTCGTCTGTCGACCCGATTACCGCGTCCCCTCCACAAAGTGGAGGCTAGCGAGCGCTCGAGCGCCTTCCGATGGCCTTTACAGAGATAAAGTACGGACAATCGATAAAGGACAAGAGGGAAAATGTATGTAGCACACACCTCCGCCCTGTCCTTCACGGATAATTCCGTCGATGCCAAGTCCGACCGGCATCATCGACCTTTGTTAGTACTTCAGACCAATTTTTCTCCAGCTGGAGGTCGGGCCAAAATCACACTCCAAGAATGCAGACAAGATCGTCCGTCCAACCGAAGCGGCCCGGAAGATCGACCCACTTCCAGGCACCTAGCCGCAAGCCGGACGACTTGTCGCGGTTAATCTTGGCCCCTTTCACCTTTTCGTACCGATCAAGCGCCTTCAGTACCGCCTCAATGTCGCTGCGGGACGACACGACGGCAGATACGTCATCGGCGTACGCAGAAACCCTGGCTCGAGCTCCTCCAGGAACGGCGATTCCGCGTAGGGCCGGACTGCACGCCCCGTCTCTCAGCCGGCGAAGGAGAGGCTCCAACGCCAAAGCATAAAGTAGGGGCGACAGTAGACAACCCTGACGGACCGACCTAGACAGCACAAAAACGCCCGACAGCTTCCCGTTCACCTGTACCACAGCACTGGGGGAGCGATACAGGAGGCTAATCCAGCGGCAGAAGTCGGGTGCGAATCCGGCGGCCTGCAGGACAGTAGCGATGGTCAACCCTATCAAATGCCTTGGACTGATTCAAATTGATCAGCGCGGCCTCATCGTCTTCTTTTACACCCTCTATGATCGTGCGGATCAGATGCAGGTTGCTCTGAATTGTTCGGCCCCTCACAGAACAAGTCTGCTCAGGACCCAACAGAGACTCAGCAACTGACTTCAAATGCTCCTGCAGGATCTTGGCCAAAATCTTTAACTCTGTGTTTAGCAGAGTTATGGGCCTGTAATCGTCTAAGTGCCCGCCAACACTTTTGCCCTTTTTCAACAGCGTGATCACACCCCTGGAAAACCGGTCGGGGCGTCCGACATCGACTAGTGTTTAGTCACCCCACCACGAGGGTATCATTTGGCACAAGGCCGGTTTAACGTGGGATCTCCGAGCCCGTGGGCTCGGTCAAAAATATACCCTTTGAACCCGTATAAACGGCTTCAGGGTCGGTTTACCTCACCGAACGAGACTCCGCCCTTCGGCGTAGCCTCGTTCGGGTTCCTTCCCGCCCGAAGGCAGAGAGTTCAACCGTTCAGCCGGTCGTCCGACATCGACTGACCATCGTTTCTCTTACTACTCCTACTTATATTAGGTGGGAGAGTCTATTAACTATAGAATAGGTGTGTTTCACCATAACACAAGTTCAGCTTTACAAACTGAGATGAGATAAATCTTGTATTTTCAAAATGAAGGTAAATACCTCTAAATTTGTGACAAATTTTCACAAAGTATACAAAGATAATCGCATATCTCTAAATTTGTAGAATTTTCTGCTTTTATTTCTTTTCTTGTTATTTCTCTTTCTTTAAGCTTATTTCTTTTCTTTGTCATTGTAGATGTAGGTGATAGCTTTTAGTTTTTCTTTGGTTCAGATTCCAGAACCAGTCAACGTCTTCCTTGTTAAAGCCAAAACCCTTCTACCTGTCAGACAAACCAAACTACTTAAATAGCTACAAATCAGATTCGATTTGAATCAGAAATTTGATACTTTTGTAGAGGACCGGTTTGGATTTACGTGTTGTTCAGTTAGAAACACGTTCACTTTATTCCTGCTAGAAGGTCCAACTACAAGGACATGGCGGACTCAAGTTGAGTCCAACCGAAGATGTAAAGAAAACAAAGATCAAGTATCTGTATTAAACAACGAACCTTACAATGGACAAAGACATTAATATTTGTGTTTGTGTGTGAACGTAAAGTGTTTGTATATTGGTGAAAGTTCGTACGTACGTGTATGTGTGTTTCATGGCGTTTTCCCACAAGTGGGCAAAAATGCGGATCTCTGCGAGAGAACACATTTTTAAATGTGTCCACTGAAATGCAAAGTAGAAAGAGAATGAGAAAAGAAATCAACCAGTATAGTGTAGGGAGAGCATGCCCTAGTGAAATATTTGGACAATTAAGGAGGAGTTAACTCCAACACTGTGAAGTTATAACTTACTTTCCTCATTGATTATAAACCACAAAATGTATGTCTTTAAACCACAACTGTTTGCAAATTTTATGCCATCAGACTCGAGCCTTTTCTTTTACAAAGTTTTGCGCATCAAATTTTATTCATAGTAATTTTTACTAACCGTCTGACTTCATTTTAGAATTAAAAAAAAAATTAAACAAAGTGTAATAAACAAACTTGGTCTATTTTTTTTTATTTCCCCGTTAATTTAATTTTTACATTTCTTTTTTTATATATAATTTTTTTTATAGTGGTTCACTATCTATTTACCGTCCAGGCTCGACACTATTTCACTTCGAAGATCGAATCAGGACGATTGAACTGATTTGCATTTTTGTCTGCTTCTTTCTCGCTCCATCGTTTTACACCGGGTGCTTGTTTGTCAACATTTTAACTTTTGTGTATAAAAGAAAGGATGATAGATAAAAAAAAAAAAAAACCTATAAGAGGAAAATATCTAGGTTTGGACAAACTGCTTCAATTTGACAAGAAATCAACCCGGCACTTTTGGGGCGTAACCTCAGACCTTTGCTCTACCACTGAGCAAGCTCTGGGAAGTGGCCCACCTTTCTTTCGTAGAGTGATTTTCCAAGCGTAACTTAGATGTGACATGAGGCTGAAAGTATGGGGCATCCAGTGAGGATCGAACTTACTACTCAGTCATGTTCTAGCGAGACAAGCTTGCTAACCATTACACCGCCTCCAAGTGCCCCATATCATTCGTATATACACAGAATAACAACAAAATACTTTATGTAGTTCCGTATTTATAAATATCGTAAAAAAAATAAAAAGGTAAGCGTCAAATGAATAAAATTTTAATGTGCAAAAAATAAGTATTTTATTATTAATGTATATATGTATGAATACATTTTTATGTATTGATTTATAAATAAATATTATATCGTATACAGCGTAAATAAATGTAAAAAAAGTACGAAACTCTGGCTTATTGATACGAACACTTTTCAGCGTCTGGTTAGTAAATAGTGAAAATGACTGCCTACAGGACTAGGTACGCATTTTTCATACCTAAAAACAGCATGAAATATTTGTTATCCTTTTTAATACAAATTAGTTTCCTATGTAAGAGGTCCCTATAGGTATGATCAATTTTTTAAAATAAGCACCAAGTGGTTTACCTTCGTAGAAGCACTGAAATTTACCTGCCTGTATTTGGTTACATACGGATAATAATCGTTGTCGTCCGTCGACACGCCTCCTCACTTATTTGTTATTTATTGCTTTCCTTTTTTTTTCTACAAACATTTCTCTGTGACTATCTTGACGTCTGGTTTAGTACAGTGATTTTGTGGTATTTATACGACTGTTGGTCAGTCTTGTTTCGACTGACAGGGTTTTTTTTTTTTTTGTATGATGTGACATTTGTGTTGATTAGGGATCTTTTTTTTTTTTTTTTATTGCCTTGCCTTATACTACAACTTATGTACAAAAAAAACAAAAACCGAACGACAAAAAAAGAAAAAAAAAATGACACAAAAACGAAATCAAATGCATTTAAATATTAATAATAACAATCAGAAGAACATCAACAAGAGCTACATTTTATTTAAGTATGTGATATTTTTCTAAAATTTTATCGTTTCACTCTGACTTTTACACTGTCATAATATTTTTCTTCATTACTAACGTTTTAACATCTTAAAACGAATTTTTGCTAACACTTCAAAATTATTAATAAATTTAGTCATAATTTAATTAATAACTGTATTTATGTTTTTGTTTTTTTTTACCGACGGTAAAAGTTTTTTTTTTTTTTTTTTTTTTTTTGAAGATAAAGTTTTACTTTTAATAAGTTTTCCCCTTGTATTATTATATAAAAAGTGTAATCTGTTTTTTAAAATGTTATCAACCTGAGTCTACCGAAAACAAAATCACTAACAATTTGGTAATTTAAAAAAAAAAAAACAATGTTAAAAAAAATAGTATAATCAATTTGTTACTGAGCTATTTTTCTTTTTTTATTATTATTAATCTTCAGTTATTGTGGGTCATTTGAACATCTACAATGTTTCCTCTTTAATAATATTTATTTAATTACTATTTATTTAGCAAGTGATGAGTCAAATTTTCATGATTAGTCAAGCAAGTAACTTTGTGAATAACTCTGACAAGCTACCGCAGAGAATTTCTGGTTTTAAAACTTTAGTCATAATTTGTCCCTTGTGTTGAATTATAACAGTTATTGAAAATAAAAAAAATCTGTGACATTTTGAAACTTACAAATTATTTTATTTTTTTTTTTTTAAATTGGTCACTTACTTCGATTTTTCAAAATAAAACTTAAATTCATTTTCGTTTTTTTTTTTATGCTGGAACTGAGAACTTACTCTAAAGGGAACATTATTATTAAATTTGTCTTGTTGGCTTTTTAATTGAGCTGACTTGTATTTATGTCTAAAAATAATCATTTTTAGTGTCATTAATTTTCGAAATAAATTAAACATAAGTTACCATTTTACTTTTTTTTTAAAGTCTTCTACGGAGAAAAACTGTAGATGTCATTCCGAAAATTTTAAGTACAAAGGAAAAACAAAAACCTTTCTTTTCTCTTTCTCTCTAGTCTACACAGTACAGTAAAAAATAGATTATTTTTTAAGATATTCATTTTGTGAAAAGATTAGAAAAATTTTTTAAAAATATTTAAAATCAGGAATCGTTTTGTTTTTATTTTTATTTTTTTAAAAACTAAAATTGAATCCCCCGCTTTAATTGTGGCTTCGTGCTTCTTGTTATAAACAAAAACAGAAACAACACTTCAGACAATGAACAAGAAAATTAAGGATAATGTTGATATTTAAAATTTTTAAATATTGACATTAGCACAGTTCTTAAATTAAAATCTGTGAGCTTTGAAAATCCCACTTTATAAAAGAGTTAGTCTTCTAATAGATCTTCTTGTCACTTTTTAAAAGTAAAACTAAAAGTGATTTAAAAATTCGATAAAAAAACAATACTTAATCTTGAATTATTGTTTTCTTTTTTAAAATTAGCAATATCTTTTTTTACTTTTTTTTATATTATCAGCTCATACCCAAAGTTTTGTTTCAAGGTTTGTTTTTTTTGTTTGTTTTTTTTTTGTACAAACTAAGGAGGCAATATTTTGATAAACAAACTTAAACCCGAACCAATCCCTCTTTTAGCAAATATCGGTGTTTTAGTATTTTAAATTTTTTTTTTTTAACCTCAAACGTTAGTGCAACTACAAATTGTATGGATGCTCATGTAGCAAAGATGCAACTCAAATACGTGATATGATGGATTGCTAGATCAATTACGAGTGAGTTCGATCCTCACTGGGTGCCCTATACTTTCGGCCTTGTGTCACATCTAAGCTAGGGTTGGAAAATCACTGTGATGGATGATTACTGAACAGTGTAACACTGAACAGTTCGTTTAGCTACCTCCACGAGATCGCTAAAAAAAGAGTATGATGAAAAAGACGCCAAACTTAACGAAAACAAAATTTTATCATATAAATGTTTGTTATTATTAAGAGGAAAGATCAAAGTATTTTGGGGGTATTTTTTTACATTTTTTTAATCGGTCCTAGCACGTCCGAAATTTTCGTTAAAAATCTTGGTTTTTTTTTTTTGTTTTTTGGTTTTTTTGAGTCAGCAAAATTGACAGATTTCAACCATTTTTTTCCAAAAAAATGAAAATCTCGCTTTGAAATTCTTTTAAATATCCATTATCATTTCTACAAAACTTATTTCAAGAAAATCAGAAATTATAATGATTATTTAAAATATTTTGAACCAAGTTTAACTTAGCTTCTGTGCCGAAAAGATGTAATTTGAAAATAAAACAGATGACAGATGATGAATACAGATTCCGTGAGGATAATTTGTTCTACGGAAGGAGAAAAGTGAAATTATTTACATCTCGTTATTTTTAAGGAAAACTTTCAGTGCTCTATTTTTATTTTTATTTTTTTTGTACTTAGCTTTAACCTTTACGTTTACGATGCTTTATGGAATATATATTATAAAGAAATTAAAATAAGACTGTTAAGAGTGAGATTAAATTTCTTAAGAAAGGTATCTAATTAATTTATAGGTACCTTTCTTATCAGAAGTGTACATAAAATACTATAATTTTATGTACATTTATTACATTTTACTGTGTTATTTGTATTTCCATTCATTTTATTAATTTTGATATTTCATTTATGGAAAAATGTCATAACTGAGATTAATATAAAAATAAGATCATATAAATTTCATAAGATGATACTGATACTTGTAGGTACCATTCTTAGTTGAAATTGAAAAATCAAATTAACTTCACCACATGTGTTTTGCAAAAGTAAAGGCCTTAACAGCGGAGAACAATGCTTAACTCAAATAAAGCAACTTAATTGTATTCTAGTTGGTCTTCCGTACTTTATAATTACAGCCCGATTATAAACACAAAATTACATTTTTTAATTACAGCGGATCTTCTGATTGGTCAAAATGATACAATTTACAAAGTGCTAAAAAATGATCTATTTCATAAAGACACTTAGGAAACCCAGTGCGGCTTTTAACTAATTTTATAATATTTTAACACCTTAAATGTAAAAATCTATTATAATTAAAAAATAACAAACAATTGTATTAAAAATTCATTTTTCATTGAATTTTTTTTTTGCTTTCAGAAAATATTATTCATAAAAACAACTAAAAGCAAATAAAAGCATTTGAAATTAAATCATATCTTTGTTTTATTGAGTTTTGTATGTTGCAATTGAGAGCTTATTTTCAGTTAGGGGTTCCAATTAAAAACAAAAAAGAACATGATTTGCATTCTTCAAAGCCTTGTGCTTTTAACTATTGTAATCACTAAATCTGACGCAATCAAATTTCTAGTATTTTCATAAAATTAGTTGGGGTGGGTAATAAATTTAAAAAAAAATATTTCTGCCATGATTTTAATAAAAAGAAACATATTTATAATAATTTTGATCATCTGTGAATAGTTTCTGAAAGTTTCATTAACATCTGACAATTATTTTTATTTTGGCAAGATTTTCCAAATTAATGTGTGTCATACAATAAAAACGTGTTAAAAATTGTATATGCTATTTTACTAGTTCTGGTGATACAAAGAGAAACAAGGTTTAGAATGTCCTAAAAAGAAGGAAAAATTTTAAAATATAATTAAAATAAACTTTGATCTTTTCTCTTAATAACATAAGCATTTAGATGATAAAATTTTGTTTTCGTCAAGTTTGGCGTCTTTTTTATCATGCTATGTTCTTTTTTTAGTGATCTCATGGAGGTACCTAAGTTTATTGAACCTTACTTATTGTGGAATCAAAACTGGAGATTTTATCGTTTTTGGCACCAAATCGCCACGGATTTACGTTCTTGAATTTTTTAGTAAATTAAAAACACGGCACTACTTAAATTGACTTATAAAAAAAATATAGGGATAATTTTACAATTTTATTTATTTATTTTTTTTTATTGATTTAGAGAGGGCCCTTTATGTATAGCAGACATGTCTAAGTCCGTCTCAGGGGCCAGATTTTATATGGGCCCCATCCTCTGTCATAGAATGTATCACTTACAGCCTGCCAGCATTGTCAGTCTGTAAAATACATACCTAAGAAATGCAATTTCATGTTTTACCAAAAGATGGCATCAGCACTTTATGGCCACCCTCTGGTGGTGTGACCCTAACCTTTTCCAACCAATTTGTAAAATCACTGCCTTTGCACCAGACCTGGCCTACATAGTGCAGTCCTGATCTCAGTATCACCCTTCACATTAACTGCAGACAAGTTATTTGTTTTGGTCATCTGAGATGAATAAATTCTAAAATCTTAGTGAATTAAATTTGTTTTGTGTTGGTCAAAATTACTTATAAATATATTTGGACACTTGGGCTTTTGTCACTTTGTTTTCTACTTTTTGATAAGATGAATGTTGGTGTTATGATTTATTCATACATTTTTTAACTTTAAGTTTACCGTCAACATTAATTACCAATAATATGTAATGACTA